GGGGGGGGGGGGGTACGCACAAACTTTTCACTCTGCAGAGAAATAAATAAGCAGATGAAAAGTCCTGAGGAATGATAAATACATAAATAGAGTATCTATACATATATATAAGTACCTCAGTCCGACATGTGTTCCATCCTGTATCACAGTCTCTTGGGGCCCAATGCACAGGAGCTTCTTTGAGGACCCTGTGATAACATTCAGCCCCTCTCCTCCTCCCTCCTCCTCCTCCTCCTCCTTCATCCTCTGCTCCTCCTCATCCCCGCCACTCTTCCTCATCTCAATCCTCCCTCTCCTCCTTCCTCCCTTCACCGTCCGTCGGGGGGGAACGTTCCTCACTTGCCCCCTCGTCGTTCACCCTCCTCTCACTCCGCCCTGTCCTCCTCTTCAACCTCCTCCTCCTCCTCCTCCTCCTCCTCCTCCTCTCCTATAGCTCTTAGCGTCTCTGTTCCAGGGTACATCCCCAGCTACCTGGAGAAGGACGAGCCATGTGTGGTGTGCGGGGACAAGGCGACTGGCTACCACTACCGCTGCATCACCTGCGAGGGATGCAAGGTACATGGACGATCACAGACTTCAAGGATTTTTAACACTAATGAATCTTTTCCACGTCGAATAAACACAACAACACAAAACGAGTAGATACAGAACACGACTGTGCTTTATTTTGTGACGTCACTCGTTGTTTTTATCCACAAAAATCAAAGCACAAGCAGTTTATATTTGAGTGCAAGCGCAGGGTGTTGAGTGAAAACAATCTAAAATGTTTTATTAGACCGGTGTTATATTGACGATCGATTGAGTGATCGATAAGCACAAAGTTTTTTCTGTCCTTCTGTTCTTAATATTTCTCTGCTGCTCTGTCTCAGTCTCGTGTAAAAGTTATTTCTGAGACGTTCAGTCATGCCACCGCTCCATTACTTAACCATTCTTGTTAAGCAGGACCCTGCCATGCGATCACCAGCCTGCCATGTGATGCGCCGCGTCTCATTCACTTGTTTTGCAACTAAAAACACACAAGAACATTTCATTGGTGGATTTAATTTTGAGGTTACGGTGAATTTAAAATTTCACCTCCGTCACTGAATGGCCCTCTTCTCTTCTTTCTCTTCCTCCCGTCCTCCCTCCCTCTCTCCAGGGTTTCTTCCGCAGAACCATCCAGAAAAACCTCCACCCATCTTACTCCTGTAAATATGAAGGCTGCTGCATTATTGACAAGATCACCCGCAACCAGTGTCAGCTGTGCCGCTTCAAGAAGTGCATCTCTGTGGGCATGGCCATGGACTGTGAGTACTCTCACCACTACTCTAGTATTTACACAGGGAGTAATCAGGTTGGAGTATGAATACGCTGGCTGGTCATAAATCCTGCCTCCTCCATGTTAACAGACGGGACATCTATTTTTCTCTAAGATGGTTCGTGTCATTTCAAGTGGTTTTGGTAGTTCTGAATCCCACTGAGGAGGATTTTCCTGCAGCGTTAGCGGGACATCATAGCGTCAAATGAAATGTCTTGACAACCGTTGGACGATTTTGTCACACTTTGTGTTTTGTGTTTGTCGGCTAATATTAGCATGCTGATATCTTAATCTCACAGAAAGAAAAAAAAAAAACGCCTTTGGATTCGTCTGATGTCCGCGATACTCGATTTTTAGAAACGAAGACGCCGACGCTCAGAGCGTCTTGTTGATCCGGTCACAATGTACCCTTCGCTGATTCGTCAGGCTCCTGTCATATGACCCCCTCGGCTACCAGCGTACAACACAACGTGTTGAATGGATCACAAGCGTAACTGACCCTGTTGTCTTTGCTTTTACAATGATGCAACCTTTTACACGCGGAGAAGACGAGAGGTCGCTGGAGCGCCCTGCGACGATTCCCCTGTCCGTTGGGAGGCGCCGGCCTTCCTGCTTACAACGGTTCATATGGTTCAAACTGATACGGAGCCCTTTAATTTCTAACCCTGACTCTTATCATGATACTGACATTAACGTTGCAGAACCTACACACACATCGCAGCTGCTCAAGTGGCTTTAGAGCTTTTATTTCTATTTCTATGTAAAAAAAAAAAAACCACACAGGTCCCGTGACTGTTTACAAGAAAAGTATTTGCTTTAAAATCTGAGCAGCTTCTGCAGCAGATGTTACGAAGCCGAGTGCTTAGTTGGTAGAAACAAAGCATTAACTGTCAGAGCGGTGAGCACGGGGAGTACGTGACACATTTGTCTGTGGTCGGTCTGTTCACGGATTCCTGCTCTGCCTCGAGGGGGCTCACTGGTTAGAGATGAAGCGCAGAGCACACGCTCACATACCGACATTATCTCATTACATGTTGGATATTAATTTAGCTGGACATCTGCTCTGCTGGATAAAGGAAACTGTTTCTTCTCCTCTGGACATTTTGATGAAAACACAAACACACAACATCTGGGCTTCACTTCCAGCTCTTTCAGTTGTTGTGTTGCTTAAATTTGATTAAGTGAAGCGGCAGCGCTCCTTTAACTTTCTGTGTTGTTCGTTAATGTGGAGTTCTGCTCATGAATACACTGATAAGTGCAACGCACACACTCTCAACAGTCCTGTCTCATGCACCGACACTGATTTCCTGGAGACTCTTAATCTGAACCCGAACCTTAACCAAAGCCTAACCCAAAGTTTACCTTAACTTTAAGCTTAACCTAAACCAAACCTAAATTTAAACCTAACTTAATGCAAACCTAGATCCACCCTAACCTAAACTTAACCTACCACCCCTCCCACACACACCCCCCCACACAGAATGATAACTTACCCAGATCTCCTTGCAGCAGGAACAATAACAACATATGCAACAGGAAGTCTCAGTACGCAGCCTCGTGCGCAGCTTTTATGAACCCGCTCACAGTTGACGGCTCCACGCGGCTCAGCAAAGATCTTTTTCATCCGTCTGGCATTCAGTGCTCATTTGACACTTCTGACACCGTCTCTCGATATTCCACTTAATATGTTTTGAAGGTCGTCCGCCTTCAGTTCTGAGAATCTTAAGAATCGAGTAACTTTCACTCTCAGAGCCGTCTGCTCTTTTGGTTTTCACGCCAGAGTCTAGGAGTCACATGTTCCGTCCACGTTTGTGCAGCGGCACGTTCTGTGAGGTTACATGGGCGCAGAGCGGCGTGATGACAAGGCGGAGCACTGTGGTTAAAAGCCCTCACTGAATAAGTCATCCAGTCACAATGCATAAATGACTGATAGCTTTGTCTGTTCAGGTTCGGAACTCGGGCCGAGAAGGACACGGAAAACAAAACCTGCCGATAGGAGTCATTATTATATTATTTATAATTAAGAGTCTGTCGCCAGGAGATCTGGTGCAGAGATATCAAGAGGTTACAGATGAGGAAAACTAGAAACTATTATTCAAGTAGATCAGAAGTGGGAGGAAGCACAACTATTAAGATGTTTGGTGAAGAAAAAGTTTCAATAATTCAAGAAAGTTTCCAGAGCGTCAATGAAAGAAGATTAAACACGTGATTTAACAGGTGAGTGTTTTCTCTCCCGTGTGCCAGTGGTGCTGGACGATTCCAAGCGCGTGGCCAAGCGGCGTCTGATCGAGGAGAACCGAGAGAAAAGGAAGCGGGAGGAGATGGTGCGGACGCTGCAGATACGACCGGAGCCCGACACGGCGGAGTGGGAGCTGATCAGGATGGCGACCGACGCCCATCGGCACACCAACGCCCAGGGATCCAGCTGGAAACAGAAGCGCAAGTTCCTGGTGAGTTTTCAGCTTTTGAGGACGGAGCGTCGTCCTGCAAGAGAAATAATCATACATGTTCGAGTCGGGGGCGGAGAGCACGTGTTTTCATCAACATTGACCTCTCACCACAAACTCCCCCATCTTTCTTCTTTCTGCGTTGACGTCTTCCTCGACTCGCTCGCACTGAATCCTCCGGAGCGTCTCCGCCTGTTTTTCATACGTTCAGAGTTCTCACGTACTCTGGAGAATGTCAGCAGATTACCCAGAGTTCAGTGCAGCTCTGAAAACTAGGCTCCACACTCTCCACGATCGGTCCTGTGAAGACAACGCCCTCTGGCTCGTCCATGAAAACATGAAAACATTTAAAAGTAATGAACGATGTCATATTTTCATTTCCAGGCGTCTCGATCTTGTTGGATCTGTCGTTCTGATCTAAATTAATTACTCGCAGTGTCCGCGCTCTCTTTCTCTTCTTTTATGTTGCTCGTTATTCCAAAGAGTTCGTCCCACACGAAGCTGAAAGTTGTTTCCACTTCGAAAATCAAGCTGCGGCATGAAAGAGAGCTCGTTCTTTTCATTTTCCAATGAAAACAGTTTTGACAGCGCTCCTTTTCATCGGCAGCTCGCTCTGTGGAGCCGCACGTGACCGCGGCCACGGGCAGATACACGTGTCGGCGGTTACCTTGAGACAGAGGTCACATGACTGTTACCAGGCAACTGTTTTCATGAAGGCAGTAAATATATTCGAATACAGTTTTTTTTTTTTTTAAGTTCTGCTAAAAAATCGCCGTGGTGACTCCAAGGTGAGCGGAGACGAGAACATGTGACAGAGTCGTCCCATGTTGCAGCGACTCCACTGGATTCCGCAGAATCAACTTTTAAATACTTTCAAAATTAAAATGACTTCACTGTCAACAACAGAACAGAGATTATCCAAAAAGTTCCTGCAAGACACCAGAGAGTTTCATGACGGCAGCCGGCAAAGTTCAGTTCTCGTCCAAAGTTGTTTTATACATTTTTGTATTCCGTGAAGTTTCCCGTCTTTTATCGTATTCGACATTTTTCCCTGTTATTAAAAAAAAACTCTCGCCGCCCGAAGCCGTTTCCTTGTCGTCTGTAGCTTTTTCAATTTGCCCTTTTGTCAGAGCAGGACAGGGATCAGCTGCGCGGCTCTAAGTGGAAACCTCTGCAATGTTGGCATCGTTCTCACAGATAATCAGATAACATCTGACCTCAGGCCTGTCGCTGCTAAATGCTTTTCACTTTCTCATCCTGCCTGTGTCTGATCACTCCGAGTACATTGATGTTATCAGCGGAGCTTAAAAAACAAAGACCTGCATTCATATTGACGCTCAACTCATTTGTCAAGTTCTGCGTCACGGCTCATCTAATAATTCAGGAATTCCTCTAATACGCCGGCCGGCTGTGTACTTCTCTGTCCACTGTCTTTCACAGACGAGTCTGCAAATAGAAAACATCTACATATTTAGATTTAGATATATTTGTATTCTACAAAGTCAAAATTCAACACGTGATTTGTTTTCTCTAGTCGGATGATATCGGTCAGGGTCCTATGGTTCCCACCTCCGATGGTGACAAAGTGGACTTGGAAGCCTTCAGCGAGTTCACCAAGATCATGACACCCGCCATAACACGCGTGGTCGACTTCGCCAAGAAACTGCCCATGTTCTCAGAGGTAGGTTCTGTGTGTGTGTGTGTGTGTGTGTATCTTAAAATGTGAATTAACTGACGACCAGCGCTCTGCAGCAGTCGGTGGGGGCGTGGCTTAACAGACCGACGGAGCTCAGCGTGGCTTCCTCGACAGCCTCAGATCGTCTCGATGACTTCACTGTTGTTTTCTTATCGGGTTGACGCACAGACTTCCTCG